GACCGCACGATGCCGCTGTCCAGTGGCATCCCGTTGCAGGGTCCAGAGGAGCCCGCGTGGCCCAGCCTCCAGGCCTGGCTGACTTCGTCTCTCACCTCTCGCTGCTCTGCCTGGGGCCTTTGCAGCCGCTGTCCCGACTATGGGATGCACGCTGAGCGCCATCCCTTCGCCTGATTAACCCTGGCCCACCCCACACGCTCATAGCTATCATCATTTTCCCACGAAAGCTACCCTGACTTTCAGATCCCAGCTCTGTGTTCCCACAGTGCCCTGTAGCCTCAGGTCCCCAAGAACATTCCGCGTTCAAGCTGGGAGTTGTCTGAACAATACCCTCCTCACCAGACTAGACCATCTCTGGTTCGCAGCTATGTCCCTGGCACCCAGCACATGGTAGGCCCTCAAAAAATATTTGTTGAAAGACTGGAAACAAAATGTCACTCAAAATCTGGGCCCTCCCACCAATTCCTAGTACCAATTACCAGGTGTTGGTAAATATTCGATCTATTGGGACCAGGAGAGGGTGTAATGGTAACACCACTGGATTCCCACATAGTCGACCACGGTTCAAGTCCTGGATCTGGCAGATTAAAATGCAATGCCAGGCAGGGACCGTTGCTATACTCCCACATACTCTACCCTGGTTTAAGTCCTGGACCTGGCAGCTTAAACTCATGCCAGGCACACGTGTGTGCGTGCCCAAAATCCCAAAGGAGAATGAAAAAGGCATTGCTGCGTGGCCATCCCCCGGAGCGGGGTGGATCTCTCACTTTCTGTCTCTCTGTCTCTCTGGCAAGCATATGCACCCTATAGCAAAAATGTCACTCAAAATCTGGGCCCTCCCACCAATTCCTAGTACCAATTACCAGGTGTTGGTAAATATTCGATCTATTGGGACCAGGAGAGGGTGTAATGGTAACACCACTGGATTCCCACATAGTCGACCACGGTTCAAGTCCTGGATCTGGCAGATTAAAATGCAATGCCAGGCAGGGACCGTTGCTATACTCCCACATACTCTACCCTGGTTTAAGTCCTGGACCTGGCAGCTTAAACTCATGCCAGGCACACGTGTGTGCGTGCCCAAAATCCCAAAGGAGAATGAAAAAGGCATTGCTGCGTGGCCATCCCCCGGAGCGGGGTGGATCTCTCACTTTCTGTCTCTCTGTCTCTCTGGCAAGCATATGCACCCTATAGCAAAAACCTCTCAAAAAAAAAAAAAAAAGTTTGACCTATTGACCCTGCCCATGTTTACCAAGCACCTACTACGCGCCAACACGCACAGCTTTTAGACATTTTGGTGTGTTTGGGTCCATGGCCAACCCAAGCAGGCATGACACAGACTGCGCCCGCTCCATCTGGCGGCGAGGAAAGTGAGTCTTGGGATGGGTAAACACTTGCCTCTGGCCAGGGTGTGGAGACCAGGAGTGGAACCTGAGGTCTGCTTGCCTCTAGGGCCAAGGTCTTAACCACAACCGTAGCTCACCAGGGAGGTCTCCCAAGGGCGCCTCGCCTCAGTTCCTTCCCACCCAAATGGCGAGGGAAAGCCCCAGAAGGCCTAACACCTGGCACAGGCCTGGAGGGCACAGACACACACCCAGGGCCTTCCACAGGGCTCAGTACAGGAGCCAGATGACAGCCAGGGAGAGCTGCCTGACCCACCTGGGTGGGGCCTGGAGGGAACAGGAGGCTGCTAAGACGGGGCAGAGGGAACAGCCCTGAACCTGCGGGGTCCGAGGAGACGATGAGGCCAGGGTAGACCCCTCCACAACAGTGTAGGGAGGAGCCTCGGAAAGGCTTGGGGGAGAAAGAAGGCCGTCCGGGATCAGGGTGGGTCTGATTGGATTCACGACTGGCTCAGTAGCTGTCTGCTCAGGCAGAGTGGAGGGAACACGCCCCGGTGGGGGTCCAGGCAGTGGAGCAGCACCAGTACCCTGGAGGGCTTGGAGGGCAGGAGCAGAGGCCCAGGTGATGGACTGGCTGGGGCAAGAGGGATGGGACGGGAAGCCCAAAGCCCAGGAATCTAGCTGGGCACCCAGAAGAGACCGTCGAGGCTGCCCAAGATGAGCACCTGGGACGAGGGACGGACTGGGACAACCTGCACACTGGGCGAGGGGGCAAGACTGGGCTTGAGGTTCAGGAGAGGAGAGACAGGGCCAGGACCCGCCCATCTTCACAGACTGTCACCCCGGCCCTGGCCCGGCCCGGAGCCCCACAAACCTGTCCCTTTGTACTTGTCCACAAAACAGTATTTGAGTTCATATTCACTGAGTAGGTCGTGTACTTCCTGCAGAGAGAGAAATCAAAAGCCGCGAGTCACCAGGGACTGAAGTGGGTGACCCAGTGCCACCCTCACCTGGCCTCGAGTCAGTTAGCACTCCCAGGTTACAGACGAGGAAACCAAGCTCCATTCGGTTGTCCCGGGCCACTGAGCCCCTAAAGGCAGGACTGAGATTCACAGCTGGCTGCAGACCGTGCTAGTGACGGGTCACACTCACAGAGGACGACCATAGGGAAGGCCCTGACACCTGCCTGGGCCTCTCCACCTCCACAAGTGTTAAGGAGCCCATTCTGTCCCTGAGCAACCTGAGGCACACAGAGGTGACGGGACTGCCAGAGGTCATGCAGTTGGTCAGGGCAGCAGTAGCAGGTCCCTGACTGGGAGGGCACTTTCGTAAACTTAACGAGCCCAGAGCCCACGCTGCACCGCTTCATCCACGGGCCTCCCACATCCCTCCTGTCAACAGGGCCAGCCTCGGGCAAGCCAGCTTGGAGAGGCGAGGTGCAGGGTCTGCTTGTGCCAGACATACTGTGCACCTCGCAGGAAGGGTGGCAGGTCCCCCACAGAGAGACCTCAGGCCCTAAGAGGAGGACCAGCTCCAGAAACCAACCAAATCATGCTAAGTGGCACCTCCCCGAGTATGTCCCCAAATCATGCCATTCCCAAGGCATCTGAGGTCCCACTGGCTAAGGGTCTATCCTCAGGCAGGGAGGGCAGCTGCTGGGGGTGGCAGTGTTCCAGAGAGCGAGGATTCTCAGCAGCAGGAAGAGAAAACCCATTCCAGCCATTCGGCAGCCCAGGGGCAGGACCATACAAATGCCATTTCCCAGGGTCCAAAGAGCACCTGGAAGTCCTGCCCTACACCGGGCCCCAAGTGAAATGCACACCTAGCCGGAACTAGCCGAGAGGGGCTCAGAGAGCACAGGCATCCCCCTTCCTGTAGGTCGGAGAGCTGGCAGTAAGAGCTCCGTTTTTGCAAATTATTCCTGGGGCTTGACCCCCAAGGGCTGCTATAACTTCCGGCACTGAGAAGGGAGCATAAATGCATGATAGGGAGGGATAATACTCCAGCCAACCCCCAAATTTCTGGACATGAGGTCCTGCCCCCTGTGGCGAAGGAGGTGGGGAAAAACAGAAATCAGAGCAGGGCACAACCGGCGTCCCGGTCTCCACCCGTCCCAATCCAGCGGCCCATTCACGATGCCCCAGCAGGCCCAAAGCTGCCGGGCCCTTTCCATTCCCCGCCTCTCTCAATCCCTTGGTCTAGTCCAAGCCCGTGGTCGCCCCTAGCAACGTCCGCCCTCAGTCTTCAATTGGTTTCTCCCTGCATCAAGGCCCCCCTACAGCCTGCTCTTGGTCTCTCCCGACCCCGCGTGGATCCCGCGCATGGACGCCCCCGCCGACGCCCCCTGCGCACGCCAGCGTTAGTGTCGCCCGGTTCCCCCCCGCGCACGCGCATGGTGGTATTTCCCGCCACGCTCCCACACGGCCCCCCCCCAATACCTGGTTGGTCACGTCCCCCGGGAGGCCCCGGATCAGTATCTTGCGGCGGTTACGGAACTGGCGCTCGGTGTGTTCCAGGCGTTTCTGGATCTCTTCTGGATCTAGCGGCGGCAGCTCTTCTTCGGGCACCCGGCGCTCCGCGACATCACTAGGTTCAACCTCGGCCCCGGTCTCCGGGCTCAGCGGGGGCCGGTGAGTAACGGACACGTCCGCCGCCATCTTGGGAAACCCGGCGCCTTCTGGGACCAGCGAGCTGGGGCGGAGCGGCATAGAGCGGCAAGGAAAGCGCGCTCGCCGATTGGCTGAAAGAAGCCCCGCCTCCTCCCCAGTCTCCCACAGCCCATTGGCTAAAACCCTGCCCGCCTCTCAGAGTTCAAGTCGTGTGTGGACGCCACAGGTTCCGCCCCCTTACGCCGCTGCGCTGCCACTCAATGGACGCGCAGAACAGTGGGAAAGCCCCGTGGAGCTGGTGGGATCAAGCCAAAGACCACGGGAATTTAAAGGCTTTATTAGTGCGGAATCCGGGGATACAGCCAAAACCCCTGGCGGCTTGGGCCCTAGATCCAGGTGTCCCGCAGTTCAGGATGACTCTTCCTCCCTCGCCTCGTTGGGCTGCATATTCCTGAGGGGCAGCGAGGTGGTCTCCTGTTTCACATAATAGCTGCCACTCCGTTTCTGCATCCTGAAAGCGTACTTCAAGGCCACTGCGATAATTATCACGCCCACGGCCGCTAACACCCCGATGATGATGCTGGCAGTGACGGGGCGTCGATCTGTGCAGAGAAGCTCTAGTAAACACGCGCACCCCAGCCTCCCCAGGGCTTGTCCATCCCAGATTCGCGGCCTGCCTTGGCTTACCCTGAACATCCATCACGACCACGTGGGTGTACGTGCCCCGCGGGCTGGCCGCTTGGCAGTGATAAATACCATTATGGCTTAATTTGACAATAAATGGGATGCCGACGGGCACCTCGCGCATGGAGCCTTGTTGAAAACACTGTAGCTGGGGGACCGGATTGCCCCGGGCCTGGCAGTGCAGGGTATGAGTAGTTTTATCTTTCCACTTCAAGCGCTGGGGACACTTGGCTTCATCAATCATGGGCCCATCTGTGAAGCCACCATGTGATCAGACAGCCAACATACCCAAGACACACGACACACGGGGCAAGTGAGAGCCAAGTCTCCAGGTCAAGGGGGCGAGGGACGGAAGGGCAGAGTGACAAACTCACACAGGACACGCAGCTGGGCGCTCTCGTTCTTGTGCATGGTCTCCCCATCCACCTCGAGCGTGGCCTGGCAGAAAAACCTGCGCCCGTCGTCGCTCTCGGTGGCGTTTAGCTGAAGCTGGGCGGGCTGACCCGGGGCTGTGGCCCAAACCCCGTCCAACATGACCTGGACCTGGGGTCCAGCCGTGCAAATCACAGTCACCATGGAACCCTCGGAGACGCTGGGCTCGCTGAAGTTTACTCTAGGCCCTAGAAAATCTAAAAGCAGGGCAGGTGGCGTGGTGGTTAAGATGCTGGAATTCCCACATGGCCGGCCACAGTTCGAGTCCCGGACCTGGTGGCTTGCTTTCTCATTTTCCCTCTCTCTCTTTCTCTGGCAAAACTCATGTGAAATAATAATAATAAATAAATAAAATAATTCTTTGAAAAAATAAAATAAATAAATAAAAGAGGGCATTGACCACGACCCCCGCGCCTCCCCCTCTTCCCCTCGCCCTGCATTTCCTTTGGGGTGTCTGAGTCCATCAGCGGTTTAAGCCCCGCCCTCTTTTAGGCCGCGCCCCACTTAGTCTCTCAGGCTACCCTCCAGTTAACCAGCCCCCCTACCACGTTGCAAATCCTATTTGGTTAGCTCAGGCTCCCATTTCCGGTTACTTAGTCTCCACCCCCAGCTGATAAGGCCCCGCCCCCTCTTACTAAAGACAGTCAGGTTCGCCCTGGCCTTCAGACTCTGGTCCGCCAGCGTCACGTTGCATTCGACCTCCTGGACACCTTCCTGATCGGTGTGTGCTGTGACTATAGCTGTGGCCATGAGACTGTCCCCATGGCTTCTGACTTCAGGAACCAGCATCTGGTACCCCAGCACCAGCTGGACCTGAGCCTCCGAGGCTGGAAATAATCCGTCCAGCTTGCATTGCACCTGGCCCGATGTTCCCACCTCCAACAACCGGGGAGCCTTGAGGTGCAGGGGGGTCATGGGCAGAGCTAGGAGAGAAGGGTAAGCAGGAGGTCTCGCACTGCAAGAGATGTCACTTTCCCCAGGACTCCCTCGTCCCCCAAACCAGAGTCCTCTTCTCAGGATACCGTTTGGCCTCCATCACCCCCTTCCCTAAGACAGACCTACAAAACCACCTTAGAAGATCACGTGGCACGGGTCTCCCTCCTGGGGCTACCCCTGCGCCATGGCCAAACGCATGCCTTCCCAGAAGCCCTTGACATCCAGGCCATTCAGTTCTCAGGAAGCCAGCAGTCAGGGCCACCTCCCGGTGCACTGCGGTCATCGATGCTAGCCCCGAAACTCACCAAAGGTTCGGAGCTGCCTGGGGGCAGAGGTGTTCTGGAACAGTTCCAGCCCTTGGGACCGCAGGTCCAGCTCAGTGCGGCAGGAGAAATTGGCACCGTGGTCCCCTCTGCCGGCCAGCACCGTGGCCGTGACCTCAGCGGGCTCCCCGATGGCTGGCTGCCGGCTCAGCTCCTCCTCCCCACGGACCAGCACCACTGCGAGGTGGGCCCGCGGCGCACCTCCTTCTACCAGGCAGCGCAGGGTGAGGTTCTCACCCACGGGCTGCCAGGGGGGCAGGGGTTGCAGCTCCACGCGCTCCGGGAACCCTGGGGACAGAGAGAAGGGAAATGGCACTTGTCACAGGCCCTGCAACCCCCACCCCAGGGAGAGGGGAGGAGACAGGGCCAGCCCTGTGGGGAACCTTGAGCTTTGAGTGAATGAACTTGGCTTAGAACCCTGCCAGTATAAGTGTGTGCTATTGTTATTAACGTCGGGATTGTTTCCTGAGCCGTCAGACACCTCGCCAGGCTGGAAAATAAAGTCCAATTTTCTGCTCCCAATGTTGTCCCAATTAAGAAGGGAAGAAAAAGGAGGAAGGAAAGGGTCAGACACTTATGATAATAATTACGGAGCTGGCCCATGACCTGGAGGTCAAGAAAACCAGATCCCGGAGACCAGCAGATGGTGTAATGGTTATGTCGCTGGACTCCCACGCAGTTGACCCAGTTCGAGTCCCGGACCCGGTGGCTTAAAACTCACGCCAGGCATGTGTGTGCGTGCGTGCCCAAGATCCCAAGAGCATGGAAGTGAAGGGCTTGTGGCGTGGCCATCTCCCCTGGGGGTGATTTCTCACTTTCTGTCACCAGTGACACACGTGCCGTATAGCAAAAAAGGACCAGCAGTCGGCGTAATGGCTACGTCACTGGACTACCATGTAGTCGACTTCGGTTCGAGTCCCAGACCCAGTGGCATGGGTTGCATAAACTCACGCTGGGCATGTGTGTGCGTGCATGCCCAGGATCTGGAGAAGAGGAGAAGGGAGGAGAAGGGATTGCGGCATGGCCATCCCCCCTGAGGGATGATTTCTCACTTTCTGTCTTTCTGTCTCTCTCTGTCTTTCTGGTGAGTACACGTGCCCTATAGCAAAAACCTCAAAAAAAATTTTTTTTTCCCCATAGGGCCCATGCACTTGCTGGAGAGAGACAGAGAGAGAGGGAAAGTGAGAAATCACTCCCCAGTGGGGATGGCCAGGCCGCAACCCCTTCTCCGTTCTGGGAAATTGGGCACGCAGGCACACGCACCCCGCATGATTTTTAAGCCACCACGTCTGGGACTCAAACTGCAGTCAGCCACGTGGGAGTCCAGTGCCTCAACCCTCACGCCACCAGCTGGCCCACAAATACTGTATTTTTAACCACTATGTGACATAGTCCATATAAATACTGGTGAATTTAATGTGAATATCCTTTTACTGTTCTACACATAATGGTGTCTAATTTTTCCTTACCGAAATTATGTTGCAGGAAAACTTAGGATAGTTTCCCATTTTTCCTTACTGAAAATATGTTGTATTAAAATTTAGGTACATTGAACTTCTGTTTTTATATCTGTATAACACATACAAAAATATCTAAGCTTCAGGCAAATGAAATATAGAAACAGTCCTTCGAAACAGTAGAGATCACCCCCACAGATACAATATATATATATATTTTTTTCTTTTTTTGGGGGGAGAGGTTTTTGCGCTATAGGGTGCATGCGCTCGCCAGAGAGAGACATAGAGACAGAAAGCGAGAAATCACCCCCCAGGGGGGATGGCCACACCGCAATCCCTTCTCCTCCATTCTCCTCTCAGGATCTTGGGCACGCACACACACACACGCCTAGCACGAGTTTTAAGCCACCGGATCAGGGACGCGAACCGCAGTCGACTACATGGGAGTCCAGCGACATAGCCATTACGCCAACTGCTGGTCCCAACAATATATTAAGATTATTATAGGGTCAGCAGTTGGTGTGGTAGTTAAGGTGCTGGACTCCCACATGATTGACGGTGGTTCGAATCCCGGACTTGCCAATTTGCTTTCTCACTCCCTCTGGTGAGTGCATGTGCCCTGTAGAAAATTTTAAAAAATAATAATAATGATAAATAAAATAAAATAATTTTTAAAAAATTATTATTATTATTGGTCCAGCAGGTTGTGGATCCCACACGGCCAACTGCATGGCTTGAGTCCTAGACCCAGCAGTTTGAAAATCTTGTGTCTGTGTGTATGAATGCCCCAAATCCTGACAGTAGACTAGAGGACAAAGATTGAGACATGGCCATCACTCTTGGGAGTGATTTCTCACTCTCCCTCTCAGTCTATCTGTCTGTCTCTCTCTGGCGAGCACACATGTCCGACGTAATTCATGATTCATTTTTTGAGAGAATTTTGCTATAGGGTGCGTGCGCTCGCCATAGAGACACAGAGAGACAGAGAGACAGAAAGTGAGAAATCACCCCCTCATGGGGGGATGGCCACGCCACAATCCCTTCTTCTCCATTCTCCTCTCGGGATCTTGGGCACACACGCACACAGCCACCGGGTCCAGGTCTCGAACCGCGGTCGACTACATGGGAGTCCAGCAACACAGCTATTACGCCAGGACCCCAGTCCATTTGTACAAACACAGGGCCCCCACACACACAGGCGCCAGGCACCACCGGCCCAGGCCATCCCACCTCCAGGCACGCCACCACTTACGGTACACAGTGATGTCCGAGCTGCCTGTAATCTGGGAGCCATTGCAGAAGACGGAGCAGAAGATCTGGCTGTCACCAGTCACGTTGCTGAGCTGGAAGGCGGCCCAGCCCAGGCCACTGCCCGCTGACTCCTTGGACAGCGAAGTCTCCAGAAAGATGGGTTTAGGATCCGGGCAGTCAGTACTGCAGTTGACCAAGAGGGACCCTCCGGCAGGGAACACTGGGTTCTGGGGCTCCACTCGAAGAAAGAACTCCTGGCCCTGTGCACCTGTAGGGGTAGGAGGAAGTATGGGCGGGGCTTCCAGGTCTGCGATGCCCCGCCCCACCCTGCCCATCAATAAGCGTCCATGGCGCTGGCCATTCAACACCGCCTCCTGCAGGGCTGGGACCGTCCTCACCCTCCTCCGGGTTCTCAGCCCACTGGGGATAACAGAGGGCCCCTCGGGAGGAAGGCGGTGGACATGCTTTGTCTCCTCCAAATTCATGTGTGGAAATTGATGGTGACAGGATTAGCAGGTGAAAACAGGCCAGCTCATGGCGTGGCGATTAAGGTGGCTGAATTCCACATGGCCAGCTGTGTGGTTTGAGTCCTGGACCCGGCAGCTTGAAAAACATACCGGACCCATATGCGTGAGTGCCCAAATACCCAAGAGGAGGGAGAAACGGAGAAGGAAGGACTGAAGTGTGGCTATCCCCTTGAGGGGGGGGGGGGCGTCCTTTCTTCCTTTCCC